TTCTATTGACCATAATAGGCATCATATAACAATATAGGAGAGTTCCAAAAGGAGGTAGTGCGAATGACGAAAAATTTGCTAAAAGGAAGTAGTTCTATGGGAGGGAATGTAGAAATCTATAGGTTGAGACCTGGTTATTAGAGAGTGGATAGAGGAATGTAGAGTTAAGAGTTCGAGGATGTAGGGAGAGTTTTTGGTTCTGAGGACTTGGAAAAGGAAAACACCAAGGAGGAATTGTCGTTAGGAAGTAGGATAAAGCCACTTCAACTTGGTATACCAGAATGAAACATGTGAATGCCTGGGGATCCCGAAAATGTATCTTATGAAACATTTCATCAGTTTCTTCAGTCTAGCCTGGCAAATTTCCCTCCATACACCAAACAGCTGTAGTCGAAGTGGGGGGATGTAATGGAAGGAGCTGTCTGGTTTTTAGAGGAATACAATAACGGAATCTTAAAGGAGTTGTTTAAGGACAGTTATAGATTTTTGGGTGATCTGGGAGATATGGTTATTACTGGAGAGGTTCTGGTCAAAGGTTACTCCTAGATTTTTTTCTGTAGGGAAAAATTTATGGGACGGTTATTGAGGTTAAGTAGAGGAAAGTAAGGATTAGTATTAAGTAAAATATTAGTGTTACTTTGTCACTTATCACTTATCTTATATTTTCTTGCCTTACCATTACATACAACACTCATATATTTTAATTTTTATTCACATCTTAAAATTTATTCATTAGCAGATAACTTATATTTTTACTTTAGTTGTTTTATAATATTTGGTTATTATCTTGTCTTAACTCACCTTGCAACTTAAGCCAAAACATCAGCACGAAATAAAATAACTTTTTAAATTTTTCTTTGTGTGTTCTGATTACAACCTACAACCTGTAACTTCCCAGCCTTCATAAATCAATATTTATCTTATTTGAACGGACTCAGATTAAAAACTTTTTTTTTTAAGTGATCACAAGTATTCATTTTTCAAAACTAGTAATTTCAGAAATTCTGATATGAAGATGATAAAAAAATAATATTTACAAGTAATCAAGGTAAGTGTACCAATAATAGACAGTTTTCAACTCATTAACAGATAATAAGATTTATACGCCCAAAGAGATAGAATTAGAAATGAATTACTAAAGGCAGGAGAAGTATTCGCTAAAGAGCTAGTAAAGGTGTTCAACTTAATTTTAGAAACAAACGATTTATCTAGAGAATGCAGAACTAAAGACCCATCTCCCTTTGCTCTTGTCTCAGCAACGTTTTTACGACCCTAATTGAAAATAGAATAACTAAAAGAATAGTATAAATCTAGAATTGGAACAAACAGGTTTAGAAAGAGCTTTTCTGTCATAGATCACTTACACACAGCAAATCAGCTCATTGAAAAAAACAATGAATACAGTCTCCCCCTATTCCTTTGATTTATAGATTTCAGAAACGCTTTCGATAGCATATTACATGCTAGTATTTTTGAAGCATTGAACTCAGTAGGTATAGAGAAAAATATATTAATACAATAAAAATGTTACTTGAAAATATTAAAGCACATATCACATTTAAAAGAACAGGACCACCGTTTCCAATAAACAAAGAGATTAGGGAAGAAGATCAACTGACACCAGTGCTATTCAACTTGGTGCAAAGCTGGATTTAGTTTTTTGCCAATTGGATGTAGGAATCTCCCATCATCGATGGGAGGCGGCTGAGTAATTTATGGTTCGCATATGATGTCCTATTGATAAGTAGCAGTGCACAAAATCTGTCAAGAATGACAAAGGAATTATGCCGCCCGAGTACTACTGTTGGTTTAACAACTAACTATAATAAAACTAAGCTGATAATTAATGTAGAAAATATAGAAATAGGGGTGGATAATGTATGGCTGAAATATATAGAGGAGTACATTTATTTAGGGCAGGACATTGGTATTCATCTAAGGATTTTAACAGGAGGATATCTCTTGGTTGGAAGAAGTACTAGTTTTTAAAAACAATTATGAAAGGCAACTTAAAAATAGAATTAAAAAAAAAAAAGGTTCCAAAAGTTATATATTATTTCTTGTTGCTTATGGCTGTATAATCATTTTCAGGAAATATAGCCAAAATAATAAAATTATCAGTTGGCAACGGTCTGTAGAGCGAAGGAAGATAAATATGACAAGACAGGACCTTATTAAACCATCAGCAGTAAAAGAGGGAACTGGTCTAAGGGATACAACACTACAGATCAAAAAGCTGAAGTGGAAATGGGCGTGCAATGTGTTAAGACAATAAGATAAGAGATGGCTTCTAGCCATAACTGAGGGGACACCTTATGGCGTTAGAGGGAACAAAAGAAGGCAGCTCAAGAGATGGAGTGACTTCTTTAAGGAAAAGTTGGGTCCTACCTGGTGGAGAATGGAAAAGGATAGAAAGGTAAGGTAAGAAAAGGACAGCTAATTGGAAGGAATTGAACACAACTCCCTCTTTCCTGTAGGATTAGTCACATGGTAAGATTAGACTATTACTCCTTTTTTTAGGAGAGCCTATGCGGACATGAATTGCAAATGTTTATATTGTAAATAGATCATTAATAGTAAATATATTGAATTTTATCTGATTGTATGTATATCATATAGTAAAAGGCTATTAATATTATACGCCCAAAGAGAGTGCAAATATGAAAAGATTCACAGCTAAAACACTTAGGAGGGTGAAGCCTGAACTTCAAGTGATATGCCTCAATAGGCAATTGGTCGATTTGTTAAAGAGCTGGGCAGGGCTTTGTTTCAGGAAAGTTTCCTTATCACTCTTCTTTAGGAGATGAGTTTGAAATTTTGATTCATTCCTCTGTAGTTCACCATTTCTTAGTTTAAAACTGTGCAGAATTTATTTTGGGTTTTTTAATTATATAAAAAACCTGTTGTATATTTTCCAACTTTCAGTCAGGATTTTTTAAGTTTTTCATAAATAATTAATTAATTGTCTTTACAGAAAAAAAAAATTGGAAATTGGACTAAATTTAATGTTAATTAAATCCATTTTCTAAGATCCACCATCAGAAATAAAGCAGTGGTTCATATTAATGTTGACAATTTTAAAAATGTCTATTACCATTACATTTAATTTAACAGCACTAGGGGATCAGGATTTCATTTTGGGGAGCTTTCAGCCAGAAAGCATTTATATATATATATATAAGCATATATATATAAGCATATATATATATATATATATATATATATAAAACAATATTTTGGAATAAAAATAAAGAAACTAACTATCTTTATGAAATGGTGTTTAAGTAATTCTTGAAGTCCTATTAAATGTAACTACACGAACAATAACTTTTAGAGATAATTTTTTTCATAAGACATGGTTATATTTTACTATTTCGGGAAAGGGGAAGTTTCAGCCTGAAAGGCCTTCCTCCCATAGATCCCCTGTGCTTAACAGGGACCAGCATTGAAGTCACCTTTGATCCAAACACATTTTGGAGTTCACACTTAATAATAAATTGGTTTCCTTAATCATTTCAGATGTAAATCTTCATCTGTATTTACATTGCTTATGAACGCTTCATGTTCTTTCTTCTGTTTAAATGACATTATTTCTCCAGATATGCTAATTACCATAGAGGAATATATCTAAAAAAAATTATTTTTCTTTTTTGTAATCAAAACTGTTGATTCTTTTACATAGAGAAGAAATGCTTATACTTTGAAGATTATTATATTATAATTACAATCGTAGTAAGGTAATTGTGATCAAGTAATCGTGACACATTTTTGCTATATTTACAGTGCTATTGAATCAAGTATAAAATTTTATTTTCAGTTTTAGTCATTGATTCCGGTTTTGCCTATCTTTGACTAAAATAGTTCATTTGTAAGTTGTTTATCATTCCAAATATTATCATTTCAAATTTAATATATTTAGAGGAGTTGACTCTTGTAAAATTAACTTGAGATGAGCAAAAATTAATCTCTTTAATACAGGCATCTAAGTCAATAGTAATTATAATATGATTTTTATACATCATATGAGATCACATTTACTTATGAAAAAAATCTATATTAGTGAGAAATTTATCCATTTTCTAATGCATTAAAGTATAAAAACAATATGTTAATCTATATGCCAATATTAAAACGAAACAATGCTGCTTCAATCCATATCTTTTACAGTTACATTGATATGTATTTGATATCAATACCTATATATGTATAGGTATTTGATGATCAAATACTTATAAAAAACCTATCTTATTCTTTATAGTCAAGAAGGGATATGTGAACTAAAATTTGGCCATTCTATAAATAATTTTTACTATTTCCAGGTGTAAATCTTATTATAATAATGCTCAGGTTCCAGTGCTAGTAGATGCTTTCCTGAAAAATAAAGAACTAAAACTAATTGTTGATAGAGACAGCCAGAGTTTAGAGGTGGATAATTATTGACTTTTGTTAACAAACATTAGGAAATATTTTTTTTTATAGGAAGGAAACTAAAAATCTAGTGCAATGCATGCATCACACAAATTTCACTTACCACCCTAGTCTTATCAGAAATAAGTATTTTCATACTAAATAAGTATTCCTTTAGTTCCTTCATTATGATCCCTTATTTCTACTTTAGTTAATTATCAAATTCTTTCATATGTAACTACTTTTTATATCACAGATCAATGTGAAATAGTTAATTGTTTCAAATAAAGAAAAATTAAAGGTACTTTAGGGGAAGTTAATATTGAAAATTAGCCATTTAAGCCCTCTTAGAGAACATCAATAAAATCTACATTATATTAAAAACTGCTTAATTTTACACTGATATAAGGAATATAATCAAAATCGTTAGTTGTTTTTGAGAAAATTGTAAAAATGTGTTAAATTGCTGATATAAAGTGCCACTTCCGGTTAGCTGATTTTGACAAAAAACAGTTGCTTTAACATTCGAGGTATATAAAAACCTTAAATATGGAATTTCACTATCATAAGAATTTCCGTTTTTGAGCTAGACTGTTAACACATAAACACCGACCATTTGCGGTTATTGGGACTTAGGGGACCTCAAAACGTGTATTTCCATTGATAACTGAGATTCGATAATTTTCACGATTACAATTCTTTCCTTTACTATATATTTCATATATAGGTAAGTGAAAGTAAAAATTAGAGAATTAATTCAGAATAATGTGAAACTATTATTAGGGAAATGGGATTATTTACAATAAATCTATACTAAATAGGAGTAGTAGAAGGAAAAAATAAAATAAAAAGCAGCATACATAATAGTGTATTATGCATTAAAAATAATTCACATAATGAATATGAATATATATAATGTATCATGTAAATTTTGGTTCACTAAAGTATAAGCATAAATTCATAATGAGAAGTATTTTTATTATTTATATTAAAGTGTTTTCTATTCGATTGATAAAAACAACTGGACAGCAGTAAGTAATACACAACTAACAATAAAACAGAAGCCAAATAATGATTTATCCTTATTATAGAATAATTAATATAATCTACTAAACCATTCTACACCATTAGATATTAACTTTTACTCTATATTTCATGGTAAATATAACCACTACTTATTGAATTTAATGAAATGTGTTATACTAAAAAGATTAAAAGCGGAAAAATATACTTGTTTTCTGGGTATTTCTCCATTTTGGAAAGGTTTGTACTACTTGTATGTAATAATTACCACATCTTTATAATGTATTATAGAATAAGACATAGAATAAGAAATGCCAAGGCATTCTTCCACAAACATATTGTTTAAGTATGTCACCCCTCGAAAAAAAAAATAAAATAAATAAAAAGAAACTCTTTTTGAGTGCTGAAAAAAAGCAATTTTAAAATCACATCCATTTTTAAAAAATTGCAAGAATGACAATCGATACGTGAGCTAGTACAACAATATCTTAATATTTATTTACAACAACTAGGATAAGATAAATTGTATATAAAATTAAGACAACACTATTTTGAAATATCACTTTGCACATTCCAACTAAATTAACGAACATATACAAATAATTTATTTTAGCAGTAAGTATATAAATTACACATTACAATAAAACATTTATTAAATTTAATTCGAAAAATAATAAATCTGCAACCAGTTCATTTGAAAATAAATTCTCGTATATTAAAGAGACAGCAAGCTATAATGGAATATTTTATGACACATATCAATTTGTAAGTGTTAAAATCTCAGACAAACTGGTTTACAGCATTCGAAAATATCTGCATAAGGGAGATCACACTTTAGACCCGAAATATTTATTAATTCAAGAATAATCCACACAATATTTAAATCATGTTTCACAATTAAATATTTTTTTATGGATAAATTTAAATTTTAAGCAAAGTAATCCCAAACAAAACATAATACTAGTTCATTTGGGTATTGTACAAATTTCCTCAATGATGTGTAATAACCACTCTGCCAAGGGTAATGGTTGCTAGGCAACTTTTTATAATTGATGAAAAAAACATAAAATTGTTTATGAATTTCCAAACAAACCACTGAGGAAGATTTGTTTTGAACTCCAGAGCATTAAAATTTGTTAGGATATAATCATTCTTTAAATGATAATAGTGAAACATTGCAGAAATGTGCTCAGAGCTTTGGACTAGTTTAAAAAGTGGCTCCCAATGGCAGAGTGGGCTGGCATCTTTCCAACTAATCTTAACGGCATTCCCACACTTTCACTGTCTGGTCCACACTTCCAGAGGCCACAAACGGATGAGTCTTGTGGAAATCTAAAAAGTTAATTGAATATATAATAATGCAACAATTGAAGAATATATTTAAAATCAGAAAGTGAGGAAAAATATAAATCGATATTAATAATTAATATAGTAAATGCCTTTGCAATGAAAGTTAAGTTCATATCTTACCGAGTGATGTGCAGAAATGAGGATGAGCATCAAGTCGTTTGGCACATCTCCTATTTCTGGTATCCCAAACCCTAATAGTCTTGTCATCTGAGGCAGAAACGATGTACTTTCCATGGGGATGAAAAACAACTCCTCTCACCCAGTTATCATGACCTTCCAATGTAACCAAGCATATGCCTCGACCGACATCCCATATCTGAAACAAATAAATGTACAATAACTGACTAAGAACATACCACTATACTAAAAGAAATGATAGATATTAAATGAAAAATTCTTCAATATCCAATTAAATCAGTTATTTCAGATACAAGGGTGATATTTTTACAGAAATAATGGAAAGTATTGGTTTTAGATAGAATTTAGATATTTTCTGACACTTGGATTAGGTCATGAGAGGATAAAAATGTAACCAGCAACTGTGAAAAGGAAAACAGGTTCTGGGCTGATTCAATAATGTACAGAACCAATCTAGTATCACACCTGGAGATAGGGTGACTGGAGGAAAAAAAAAGGACGACAAAGAGATTGAGAGAGAAAAATAGATTTTTCAAATAGCACTTATCTTTGGAATTTTAAAGAAAAGTAAATGTTAAATCATAGAAGATGATTATTATTTATTGGTAGAGAGGAATGAAGTTTACTAGGTATACTTCAAAAGATGGATTAAACAGAACAAAAAGAGGATGATATATAATGGCACAAAGGAGAGGATGAGTCTTATAGAAAATCCTGACAAGCAATTTGACTATTGGATTATTGGATGGAACAAATGAGTCAAGATTCATGTTTTCAGAGTGGCATGGACATGTATCACCACCTGTCTAGTCAATTTAGTCATAACAGATGAGCAACATCAATAATCTATCCAAGTGGCAAACCAGAATAATTCAGCTAGACTACTTCAAGCAAATTAAATGTCACAATCTTTAACATTGATCATCTCTATTAACCACTTTTAGTAAGCTTACCTTTACCTTTAACTAAGCTTACCTTTAACTCAGCCATTATTCAGAAATATAATTTTTAAAATAGCATGGTAGACAATTAGTTGAAATGATTAAAAACCTTTAGAGTCTTATCTCTTGATCCGGAAACAAGAAAAGGTCCCTCATATGCACCCTTTTTGTTATCTGCACCAGCTGCTTCGTTGACGGCAGAGAAGGCAGATTCTGGGGCCCAGGAAATACACTCTACAACATGGTCATGTCCTCGTAACTCAACCTGTAAAAGAGCCATTGATACTTTTTTAAAAAAAAGTTACAAATAAGTCACATATTGCTATTATTCACTAAAAAATGTTATTTGAAAATAACAATCTTAATATAAATTTTTCTATCTATCCAACCCCTGTTATTTTATCTACTTTTGTTATTTATAGGAAGATCATCTTAATCTATTCTAAAAGGAGGTAGAACTAAATGAACCTATATGGCTCAAATTAAAGCTAATCAATTTTCCCATTTATAGCCCTTAGATGAATTTCCAGAGCCAGTTACCAAGTATCAACACTTGTATTCCAATGACTGGCTATATATTTTTTCAAATCCAATTGAAGTTTATATTATTTTAATCCATAGACTGTACAAAATGAATTTGTAAACAAAATGACCTCATTTTGTGTTTCTCTGTCTTAATATTCAATTAAATAATATGAAAACCAATTTTAGAATATTAGTAATATGGCAGACATCATTATTGGAAATGTTAGTTTTCCACAGACAAAACAACCTCTGTGGTTCATCATTTCAAAAAATATGTTCTTTCTGAACTAAACAGTGAGTAGTCCCAGAAATTTGAAATTGATGAAATCAGACGCAAAAGAAGAGAATTTTGGGTAAAAATCATATCATTTGTTGGGGAAGTTTATTGTCTTTAACTAAACTTTATTGTCTATCCCAACTAAAGCACTTGTGAATTGGCGAGAAAGCTTGGAGTTTTCCAATCTAACATAAATCGTAAGTTATATAATTCAGGGAAAGGTTTTGTTTTTACTTAACATTAATAAGATTTTGTTTCAACAAGATAACGTCAAACCATACAACTTCTCAATTCCATCCACTAACTGTCCAGAATAGCACCTCTGGCTGATTTTTTCCAGTCAACGATTATTAATTCTCTGGGCGAGATTGAAAATGGACCTACACAATTCTTCAACCAAGCCCCAAAGAATCAAATAAACACAAAATGGTACTTATTTTGAATAAGTAAAAAATAAAATAAAATTAATACCGAACTAGCAAGAACTGTCCATTTTTTACGACAAAACATTTATGAAAAAAATCAACTGAGGCAGTGATTAACATCAATGATCTTTTTAAATTTGAAAAATGTTTAAATTACCTTGCATTCTTTAGTTGCAATGACCCATACCCTCACAGTGTGGTCATTAGAACAAGATGCTACGAGTGTTCCATCTGGAGAAACCTTCACTTGCCTTACCCACTCCCGATGTCCACTGAATGTTTTCACACAATACCTAAAAAAACCCAATTATTTACTAAAATAGTATCTTTCTATAAACATTTAATAAAATAACTTAAATTTAGTTAGTTTTTTTTTTCTCTCCTTGAATTCAAAATACACAGTAATCTAGACAGAATTGCCAACCTACAGATATTTGGTAAAAATTTATGTGATCTAACATCTAAAACAATATTCTTACTCATTTTTACTTTCTAAAATTTATTTTCTAATAACTAGTGATTATGCTAAGAGATTATTACATTTAATAGGTATCAGAAACTTACCCCGTAGAAACTTCCCACATCTTGAGTGTTCTGTCTCGAGAAGCTGACATGATATAGTCTCCAGATGGTAGGAAGGTTACCCCAGATACGTTATGCTCATGTCCATGTAAAGTCTTCAAGCATTGGTAAGTCTGTGTGAAGTCCCATAGCTTGATGGACATGTCGGCACTGCATGATGCTGAAAAAGAAATATAATTCTGTTATTTAAAAACAAAAAAAAATATGGAATAAAACTGCATTAAAGTAGTCCATTTTAGAAATTCTGCTGTTTTTGAAATTAAAAAAAAAAAATGAAAAATAAAATAGATTTGTAATGTGTTTATTGGTTATAACTAACATAAAAAAAAAAAAATAAATAAATAAAATGTGAAAATCAGAGACACAGCCTCTGGTGGTTTCATATGGAATGGTGCTTGAATAGAAATGTTTGTAAAAGCATCTGTACCAGTGAGTATGTAGGTTTTGTCCTAAATTTGTCTCTAATGCAATGAAATAATGCATAAGCTAACATACTGGAAAATAATTCAAACAAATAAAAATAAAGTTTTAAATAATCATTTTTGATGAATGTCTTAATCTTCTTACTATGATTAACATGTAACGCATTAGAATAATGCGAAAAGGCAGTAGAGGAAAGAAGAAAAATGAAAGTCCTCTGCCTAACTACAACAGATCAAGTTACTCAAGACAAGCACACAGCTGCCAAGAAATAGATAAATAAAACTATAAGATCGGCAAAAAGGGAATTTCTCAGAGAAAGATTGCAAAGGACAACTGGAAGGGTGAGGATAATCTACACAGCATTAGGAAAAAAAGGATAGGATATAAAGCGAGAAATACGCAAATGTGAGAAAAATATGGCATTTTGACAGCATCTAAAGAAAAGATATTGAACATATGGAAAGAACATTTCCAGGCACTTCTCAATCAAGGGGACCCGACGAACGAAAAAGACATGGACCACACTGAGGATCTTGACCCAGAAGAGGTTGAAAAAACAGATATACTGGATGTAGAAATAGCTATTGAAAAGCTCAAAACAAGAAGGGCCTGGGGATAGACAACCTACCAATAGAACTGTTTAAATATTGGGGAGACGACTTAAGAGCCAAGTTACTACAACTAATCCAGAAAATATGGGAAGTGGATACCTGAGGCTTGGAATATGGGCTTAATCTATCCTATCCTAAAGAAAGGCTCCATGTATGTGTAGTAATTACTGAGACATAGCACTTCTTCCGGTTGTCTACAAGATAATGACCAATATTCTACTGAACCGGATATATTTGTATTACAAAAATATAATATATAAGGAGACCACCAAGCTGGATTTAGAAAAGGGAGGAGAATGCTAGACCAAATCTTCATCCTAAAACAAGTACTAGAAAAACAATGGGAAGTATGTCACAACGTTCACACCCTATTAATCGATTTCAAAGCAGCCTATGATTTTTTGGGCAGGAGCTGTCTTTGGAAATCATGACTGAACTGGGAGAAGAGGGTGTAGTTGACCTCAGTTAAGCTACAGCTCAAACGACTACCTACATTCTAGTAATTACAAACGTAAAAGAATCAAATCATTTTAATCTATCATTTAATCAAAAAATAAGTAGTAATATTATTTAAAGCCAGTTTAACTTGTTAGGGTTTTTGACAGAATTATATTTCAATATTATCCAGTAAATTCAAATGGCTTAGACGACAACTTGAGTAAATCTTTTTTGTGTTTAATCACCTTTTACTTTTTTTATTTTCATCATTTTTTCATATTATTAATATAATAATATATAATGACTGATAAGTTGACAGATGTTAAAAGTTGGTTTAAAAAAAAATATAAATACATTTTTTATTACACAGGCATTCCAATGAGGGTTGCCTTTCACGTCAGGGCTGAGCTCCATAGGTTGCAGTCAAGCCAATCCCCATCCTGAAGACCCCAGCTAACCATCTCCTCTTCCATTTCATGTATCCATCTTTTCCTGGCTTGTCCTCTCCACCATCTTCCCGGCGGTTTCCAATCTAGGATTTTGTTAGACCATCGCTTGGTAGACATTTGTCTTACATGGCCATGCCGTACCATAGCGCTGTCTTCGCTGTCCAATTCTCTGGTTGATGAATACAGGGGCCATGTTTTCACTTGTAAAATGGATGGAACAAGAAAATCAACAGGAAAAATTCAACTTTTTGATTGTTCGGAGTTAACGAGACCAATATTTTTCTTCAGACATAACAACACTAATTAATCTGGAATATAAATATATGCATGAAGTTCAGACAACTTCGATATTTAAGGAGGAAATCAAGACCAAGATGAACTGGTTGAACTTCAATAATAGACATAATCACAAATAAGACTTTTTTTTATTTTTAAAAATCAGAGTAAAAATTACTGAAAACTAAACGAAATCTAAGTAACGGCAGTAAGTGTCATGCCAGTAACGTTCGAAATCGACTGAACAATACAGTATAAATTAACTGTTTGATTAAAATATAAAATTTTATAACCCCATAAAAATATTGTAATAACCTAACTCCTGCTCCATATGATTAATGCCTTCTACATTTCAAAGCCATTATATTGTTAACAATTATTTATATTAATTTTAATTATTAAATGGAATTCAATTAAATTGATACTAAGTAATTTCTACTATCCAAATTTCCTCCAAGTTTGGATCAAATCGAATGCACCGTTTTCAAACTATAGGCATATCAAATAATACGTTTCCAAATCTGAAAGCGGAAGTTTTTTTTTTTTGGAGTAGTAGATAAAATTGATGCCTATTAAATAATATTTTTACCAATCCCTAAATTCCCTCCAAATTTGAGCCAAATCGAAATTGTGGTTATAGATGTATCAAGTAAAACACGTTTGCACATATACAAGATAAAGTAATGGACAGAATTTAATAAAATTGACACTACATTATTTTTTCACAAATACTTACCTTTTATCCAACTTTGAGCCAAATCGAACAAGCTGTATCTGAAATATTGGCATATCTAAAAAAATACAATTGTGCGTGGGTAAGCGGAAGTGCTGAATGGAATTTGGTAAAATTGATATGGAACCATCTAAGCACTATCCGTGAAAATTTCATGAAAATCGAATAAACTGTAGTAGGTGATATGCCCATTACGTTGTCTGAAACGTAAATGGAAATTTTCAATTCTGAACAGAAAATTTTTTTAAACATCTCGTATGAACACAATGCTTTCCTACCTTCTGTAGTGAGGAAGCAAAAATCGGTAGTATTTGAGGGAGGAGCCTGGGAAATTTCGCCAGAGTGCATACAACCCGAGAGCATCCAATCTAAAAAACTGCAGTATAGATTCTGATGACTAACCACTTAGACAAACCATTTGGCATCATGATAATAATAAATTCTTTAAATCTAAGCTGTTGAGATATCTCCATATAAATCATCTCTCCTCAAAAATAATAATTAATTATGTAAAATGTAGCACACTTGTAAAAACCCAGTAGTTCACCCGTCAAAAGCCACAATAAATAAACAATTACTGACCTAGTATTTTTCCAGTTGCATCAAGGGCAATATCTTGAACGGAATCTGTATGCCCCTTTAAGGATCTTTCATATTCCCCTGTTTCGAAATCCCAGACTTTGATCGTTGCATCTTCGCTCGCAGACACAGCTAGGCTGAATACCGGGTGAAATATGACCTGTGAAACAAATTTTTAGTTTAAAACATTAAAATAAAATATAAATATGTTTTGTTAGAGGCTTTGATTGAAAATTTATTGATTTATATATAGTTATGTCCATATAATTTGTTACTGGACTCTGATAAATGACAACTTATTAATAAGTTATTCACAATTAATATTATTTCACTTAACCTAATAGATTTTTTTTATTAAGTAACTGGTAAATAACAATTTTTTTTTTTAAAGGTTCTTAACATGCTTATGCTTATAATTACCTTTTAATTATTAGCATATGACATTGATTAAGACAATGGACTGATAAGTAAAACAGATAAACATTACCTTAGTAACGGGTGCTCGGTGTCCATTCAAACAGAACTTTTCCGGTGGTCTAGGGATCCAGTCTGCTGGTGATCGTTTGGCTCTAGTGGGGGCTCCTTCGATGAACTCTTTTTCAGCTTCAGATAGCTTCGACTCCAGCTCCATTACCTATTTAAATATTCAATAATTAAGTTTTCAACCACAAAATACTAGCATAAGTAAAAATTATAGATTTCTCTTTGTAAATTGATACAATAAATTGTATACTAAGTTATGTGTAAAAGGTTTCCTTTTCTTCATAACTCCAAAACAACACAAAAAACTATACATTATCTGAAATATTTTGCACCAGTTAATTATAAGGATACTTTAATTGTCTAACAGCAATTTCCTAAAGAATACAAACCAAAAATAAAAGTAAAAAAATCTTATTGCACTAACTTTGGGTATAACAAAAAATAGTTCTTTCTTTTTCTTTGAGACATTAGAGCCAATTGGAGGCTTCAGTCTCCAGAAACACACATCATTTTTTTTTTTTTTTTTTTTTTTATTAACGAAATTTACAACTGTAATTAATAATAAATACAACAAGTAAATATGAAGAAGTAATATGGCATGTACAACATGAGGAGAAACTACCCATTGGTAGCATTCCAATTATATTTCTATATTAGAAGGTCCCGAGGCCATCTTCTTTTTAGACGCCTCGCAGGGTTATCAGGAATAGAAGAGGAAGCAAAGTTGGAAACGAGAGGGTTCGGATGGTTCAGAATGATTATTTAATGATGTTGAAAATAAGATTTCTTCAATGCTAAAAAATTAAACAGCTTTTGAAAACAATAGATTGAGGACAATTTTACATCAGACATTTCAGAGTAAGAAAAACCATTTAAAATTAACATCGTTTTAGCTATTTATTGTTTCAGACTGGATGGACTGGCATTTAACAAAAATGTTTTAATTATTCGTTTTACAAATAATCTGTAATATATTCAAATCTATGAATTATTTGTATATTGTTTTCAATATTTAATATATTCCTTTTTATACAAGTATAGAATATGAAGGGAGTATATAAGGTAATTAATTAATTCAGTATCAAAATGGCGAAAAGATGTAGGTTAATAACTAGCCCTCCAGCAGTTTTTCATATAAGTGAAATAGATAAGAGAAAAGCGACAGGATCTCTTGGAGAGCTTTTTAGCCATACATGAGTGTATCTTAGTTCAGGGATCTTTTAGGAGAGTGAGTGTAAATATTGTTAATATTAAATAATTACATTGTTGTCATTATTTTTATTTTATTAGCTCTGTAGATGGAATGTGAGCATTTACAATATAACACTTAAAACATAATTTAATTTAATTTAACAGAATAATGGTTTAAGAAATACATTTACTTAAAAAAATCATTAACACAGATGTTATTTAAAGCTTCATTAAAGACAAACCTTTTTCTGGAGCCTAATAACAGAAGTCCATTTCTTTTCAAGAAGACCTCCATACTTCCTTTCCACTTCTCCAGGCATGTCCGCATCTTTCTTCAGGCCTTCTAGAGCTGTAAGGTAACCATTACTGCTGAGGTAGTCGGCTACAGCTTTATTTCTGTAACAGAAGAAAAAATTTAATTTGATAGTTATTAATTAGAAAATAAAAAGGGGTAGTCTACAAAAAAGGACAAATCTCATTATAAAGGATTGATACAGGTCTTTCAAATATCAATAGGTATTTGACCGCTGACTAAAGTAGGGTGTAGTCTAAAAAAGGTGTTAGTTTTAGATATAATTTTGAGGTCCAGTATAAATTAATAAAAAATATTACTAGATCCTGTGACACTGGCGGATCTATGAGCGAGTGGGGAGAGAGAGAGAGAAGAGGTGGGTAGGTCTTTTGGGATAAAGCTTCCCCAAAATGGAAAAATATATTTTTACATTAATTCATATTTTTTAGTTTATTTTAATGTTTTATTTTTTATAATGGTCCAATTCAAAGAATTTATCTATGGATGGAGGAATATTGCGTACGCATTTAAATATATTTTTACATTAATTCATATTTTTTAGTTTATTTTAATGTTTTATTTTTTATAATGGTCCAATTCAAAGAATTTATCTATGGATGGAGGAATATTGCGTACGCAGTCCACCTCTCCTTGGGACGGACAGAAGAAATTATACCAGGGAGGACAACGAACAGAGGAGGACAATGGCTAAATACAGGAATAGACAGTACAAGATTTATTGTGAATAGCTTACTTCCAGCAGTAGCAGTGGATTTTTATATTGCTGCAACCCACATTGTCTAACAGGAAGGGAAGGGAGAAAAATAATGTACATATTTGTTTGTGTGAGTAATCTATGCTAAATGCTTAAATAGTCATAAAATATTTTCTTTTTAAATTATAATGCGTATACATCTACCAAATGTAGCCTTGCATGTTGTTTTGTTGGCCTTCAAGGACTACTAAAATACAATCTCATATAGGTAGTTTTTTTTTCTTCCAGTGATTACCATTACTACAAAAAACAAAAAGAAAAGGAAAAAAAAAAAAAAAAAAAAAAAAAAAAAAAAAAAAAAAAAAAAGAAGCCCTTCCAAAATCAAAACCTGAATCTGCTACTGCCCATGGCATACCCAGCATCTATAAAATGGGTATCTTTGCGAAGGTCCAAGTAAAAAAAAATCTTCTGTTTTCTGAATTAAAACTGCAATTATTGTTTGCTGTTTTAAAACCAACTATAAAATAATTGATGTTTTATTAATTTACCTTATTTTTGAGTTTTGTTTTAAAATATAAAACAGATTTTTTTTTATAGTGAAAATACTTTAACAAATTATTTTAGACTATAATTGGTAATTCTTCTCTTCATTATTTTAGACTATAATTTTGGAGTAAGGAATTGACTAAAATTTGTATATTAAATTATTCCTTTTCAAATTTGGTAATTTATTATTAAATTAAATTAAAATTTATCACAGTATAAAATAAAATGTGAAAATATAGTTCAGAAATTTACCGTTTTTAGTTATTTATTGATTTACTTAAATAATCTTTTTTATCTTACAACAAGAAATTGTTTTTAGTTATTTATTGATTTACTTAAATAATCTTTTTTATCTTACAACAAGAAATTATGTTATATTAGGCTACACAAATAAGACAAAGGATAAGTCAACAGGTTAATACAAAGCATTAAGCTGAGAAAAAAAAATGCCTAGTCACCAGAGCCTTGTTAATAATCATCTGATGACTAATGGACAATACCTCACAGGTCTCAAGAGTAGTGAGCTGTATCTTCCAAATAACTTGCCAATACTTTGGACTTTGGTAAAAGTGGTTCAATTCAGAACAAGGTGGACACTGTTTAGTTAACTAATCCTAAAACATTCGAATTTAACAGGTGTGGAGAAAGAAAGAAATGGAAAATTAGTACTTACAAACTGAGGATAGAAACAGAATATTGAATTTTAAAAAGATTGAATTTATTCAACAAATGAAGATTAAGGCTATTATAATATAATTAACCGGTACCACTACAACTCATGAAGGGTCTTGGGTTTAGTACTATTTAGAGAAAGTTTTAAGGCCAACGGTTGCGCAGGGAGGAGTTCGGACTAGGATCACGCTCAACCGCCAGGTTTTTCCCTTTAATTAATTATATAATTAAGGGTATCCACTTTGTAGAAGCTGGGTGTGGCCCAGGAGTGTCTCCCTACCCCAGTGTCGCTCCACGGCCAATGAAACAGAATAATTTTCATCCATGAGCCGGGATTCCAATCTGGGACTTTGGGCATTGGAAGCTTAGTGCCCTACCACTGAGTTACCCCCCTCCCTATAATATAATTAACACATACAGAAATATATTCCCAATCGATTAAAACTTTAGAAATGACACAGTGACATGACTAAAAAAAATTAAAAAGTCGTAAAAAGACTGGATTTGATATGCTGGAATAATTATAATACAATGGATTAACTACTTTTCTGCATCTTCCCTATTGATAATTTTTCACGCCATAGTTTGAGCTCTTTACGACTTTGAACTTCGCACTATAAAATCCTAAAGTCGATTAAAAATCTTTTTTTTATCTTCATATTTCCATCCACACCTGTCATGAGCTTGACAATAAGCAGATGTGCTGTAACTAATAAGAAAAAATTGACGTTTTATGCATGAGGAAAAAATAGTAGCCAGCAGCACTTCTTGCGGGTCTTGATTTATTTCCTAATTCAGAAAACGAGATATCTCACCCAACCTCTCTTTAGTCATCTCCTGATCGGCATGTCAGCTGTGGCCATGTCCTTAATAAGTTCGTTGTGATATCTATGCAGTTTATGATGAAATGTGGACTAGAGATCGCGTATGTGTTGGTCCATAGTTGGTTGTCTTAAATCGTTATGTTAAGTTTTGTTGTTTACGTACCAAAGAGCTCCTGTTATAAGTAGTAAAATTTTGGATTGAAATGTCTGTAGTTTCTGTAAGTACGTCAGAACCGTAAATTTGTGAGGCGTATGTCCATATGAGTTTGAGTAGGTAAGGCTATGTATTAAGTTTTTGTCTGATTTTCAATTTTGATTTGGAAAAAAGTGAGTACAATATTTCCAGTCGCTTGTTTAAAGGCTTTCGTTTCATTTTGACATGTGGGCCCCAGGTCATCCTTCTGTCAAATTTTAACCCGAGATAACGTACAGTGTCCGTCTGGTTTGTCGCCGATATAAACTGGTGAGCATGTGTCTCGTCGAAGTGTAAATGTTATATGTTGTGATTTGTGAAAACCTTAATTTTATCAAATCAACCCCGAGATCGTCGAGTAAGTAAACATGGGCTACGATGAGATAATTAAATATCTAGTCAATAGATATAGAAGAGAAGCAGACATTTTTCAAAAAAATAAAAGAATATAAGAAGCTAAAAAACAGACCTAATTGTAGATTTGCAATCATAAACCTAGTGGAGAGGGAAAGTTTTATATTGAATCTTAAATAGAATTTATCATTATTGAAATTAATGGTATTGGCACGTTAGTAAACTTGGGTGTTATTTTATTTCAATATTAATAATCCACTGGGGCTTGACTAATGGTTACAGAACGAAGAAGCATTAAGGACATAATAGTTACCTAACAGCTGGATGTTACACAGGCATCCCTCATAAAATAACGGCATCATTACAGCAGATAGCCCCTAACGTAGGGTAGGTTGATCCTATCATTTCCATTCTCGAATATACTACTTTCGCCGGGTCCGATATTTTAGACTGGTTTAGATCTGCAACTCGAGGCACAACTTTCCATTTTCAGCTCCGAGGGCCTGATAGAAAGTCCAATGACTCAGTTCGTTCAGGAATGAGGAAAAGGGATGGAGATGGTCCACGCCACTGCTCAAATTACAAGTCGTAAGGACATACTATTCATTTTTACTATTCCAAGTTCTAGCCATAACAACATCATTTGAAATTTTATATGGCTGAATAAAAAGGAATAATTCTTTACAAAAAAAAAAATTAAAAATTAAGGGAATTAGAGTTAAGAAATGAAAAGAGTAGAACACGGCCTCATCATCGCCTATTACTATTGCACCCAAGATCTTTTTATACTTAGGAATGTGGATAGTTAATGAGTGTATTTATTATTCAAGGTCACATTACTGTAATCGATACTGAAAAAATAAGCGCCGATTGCTGAGTTGTTAATATAGTCTTGAATTTAACCTAATAAATCCACCCTAGGAATTAAGTATCCATTGAATATGTAGGAATGCCTTCATATCAAAGACAGACATCTGTTAATTTCAGAGTTTGGAAAAAAGTCAATTTTTGTTTGATATATTTAACTCAGACTGTTTCTGTTGATTTATTTAAGATTGTTCAAGTTGGATCATGAAAATAAATCATAAGAATTGGTTTAAATAGAAACTGTGTTACAGAAAATTGGATTTTTCTTAACTTTTTGAAAAGACAGATGTCTGCCTTTGATGAAGTCCACTCATATATTTCCTTGGAGTAAATTAGTTCTAAAACTTTTTTCTTGAGTTGAACACATAATAAGAGAAGAGCCAGCATTACTTTATAAGTTACATAATGAGAAGTAAACAACCAATACTACAGTCGTTAAGTCGTGCGATAAAATCCACTACAAGAGCTACGATCAATACAGCCAGCAGTGCCGTCTCACAAACAACATGATAAACAGGAGATGTATTAAATTAACATAACGACGAATTTCAATCGCCCCTAACGACAGCAGCGAGGATCGCTAAGATATTCAGCTTTGATAACCCAGACCATTACTACTAACATCCCACAGCGAACCAGGGAGAGATGCCCTCACGTAGCCCGGTACGGGCACGTAATGAACGAAGGTACGTACATGGCTGGACCTCTTCCGTTCCGTAATCGGCGGCGTACCATCGGGCTACATGCGCCCGGGTAATACCGGCCCATTAGGAATAAATAATAAACCTCTGATATTGCGCGTAATTGACTGTTTGGACGTGCGAGCAGATCTTGGCTCAGCTCGGGGGATGGTTCCGACAATACAAACAAATGTGGACCAAATATTCGATAGATTTATCAAAGATCATAATAATAATATGGTCTAAGGAATG